TCCACTTCACTAACACCTTCCACCCCAACCTTAAGTTTACCTGGACCATCTCTAACACCTCTCTCCCCTTCCTGGACCTCTCTGTCTCCATATCGGGCAACCACCTAGAAACCGATATTCATTTCAAGCCCACCGACTCCCACAGCTACCTAGAATACTCCTCCTCCCACCCACCTTCCTGCAAAAATGCTATCCCCTATTCCCAATTCCTTCGCCTCCGCCGCATCTGCTCCCAGGATGAGGCATTCCACTCCCGTACATCTCAGTTGTCCTCGTTTTTCAAGGACCGTAACTTCCCCTCCTCGGTGGTCGAGAACGCCCTCAACCGTGTCTCCCACATCTCCCGCACCTCATCCCTCACACCCCGTCCACGCAATAAAAACCAAAAAAGAATCCCCCTCGTCCTCACGTACCACCCCACCAACCTCCGGATCCAACGCATCATCCTCCGACACTTCCGCCATCTGCAATCCGACCCCACCACCAAAGACATCTTTCCCTCCCCACCCTTATCTGCTTTCCGGAGGGACAACTCTCTCCGTGACTCCCTTGTCCGCTCCACACTCCCCTCCAGCTCCACCACACCCGGCACTTTTCCCTGCAACCGCAGGAAGTGCTACACCTGCCCCCATACCTCCTCCCTCACCCCCATCCCAGGCCCCAAGAAGACTTTCCACATCAAGCAGATGTTCACCTGCACATCTGCCAATGTGGTATACTGCATCCGCTGTACCCGGTGTGGCTTCCTCTACATCGGGGAAACCAAGCGGAGACTCGGGGACCGCTTTGCAGAACACCTACGCTCGGTTCGCAACAAACAACTGCACCTCCCAGTCGCGAACCATTTCAACTCCCCCTCCCATTCCTCAGACGACATGTCCATCCTGGGCCTCCTGCAGTGCCACAACGATGCCACCCGAAGGTTGCAGGAACAGCAACTCATATTCCGCTTGGGAACCCTGCAGCCCAATGGTATCAATGTGGATTTCACAAGTTTCAAAATCTCCCCTCCCCCCACCGCATCCCAAAACCAGTCCAACTCGTCCCTGCCTCCCTAACCTGTTCTTCCTCCCACCTATCCCCTCCTCCCACCTCAAGCCGCACCTCCATCTCCTACCGACCAACCTCATCCCGCCCCCTTGACCTGTCCGTCCTCCCTGGACTGACCTATCCCCTTCCTAACTCCCTACCTACACTCACCTTTACTGGCTCCATCCCCGCCTCTTCGACCTGTTTGTTTCCTCTCCACCTATCCTCTCCTCTATCCATCTTCTATCCGCCTCCCCCTCTCTCCCTATTTATTTCAGAACCCCCTTCCCCTCCCCCTTTTCTGAAGAAGGGTCTAGGCCTGAAACATCAGCCTTCCTGCTCCTCTGATGCTGCTTGGCCTGCTGTGTTCATCCAGCTCTACACCTTGTTATCTCAGATTCTCCAGCATCGGCAGTTCCTACTATCTCAGGGCAGTCACTTCTCCCTGAACCACAGCCACCATTTCTCTCTGCTGCAATATTTACTTTGCAGCTTCTGGCAACAAATGGCCATGAATCGATCAAAGGGGAAAGCGACGGTGAACCAGACAGAACAGTCAGTGGCTGCATTAAGTAGGGCAGTGTGGATATTACACACGGGGATTAACTCCAGGAAAAGAAACTGCTCATAATAAACATTTGGGATGTGCCTAAGTATCAGGTCCAGGATAATGACCAATAGATCTGCCATTGCCACAGCCACCGTGTAACAAGTGATACATTTAGACAGACCACATTTTCCTAGAAAGAGAATCACAATTGTCACTAGGGTTGACTGTCAGGAAGGAAAAGAAACAATAACATTATACATATACCAGGGGTAAGGTTTCCTTAATACTTGCAAATTTCAGTTGTTCTATTGTGTCCAACAAAGTATCAATGGGAAGGTCTATGATTCAATGAAATGCATCAGTCCTTAAATAATGAAATCTGAAAGTGGGGGTTAAGCACAAATGGAAGCTTGATTTGGATATGGGCTTAAGCTGCAGGAAGCAGAGAGAAGTAAAGAACACTGGATTTACATTGGTTTTTCTTCAGCTTACAAGAAAGTGCAGAATTTTGTGTTGGTCCAACTAGGCTTTTGATCTATCATAATGCCACAAACTTTTGCAGACAGTGTGGAAGGCAGTTTAAAAAGTATACAAAAAAGTCTAACTCAAAAATGTGAAAAGATAATCCGAAGGATAGTAGTGGAAGATAGGGCCTCGCTGATGAACTGGTAACAGGTTGTTACCTAATAAATTGATGAATTAAGATAGGACCAACACTACACTAGGACTGAGTATCCGTAAAGGCTAGTGCTGGGAAATGGGTTGAGCATTTCTCTTTGCAGTCTACATTAAGATCTTTCTAATCTGTAACACATATATAGACTTGTTTGTTTTTATGTTTACCTTTTCCACAGTAAACGTGGTTTCTTTTGTTAAAAAAAAAATTGAAGCGTCATGTGAATATGTTTGGTAACTAATCCCCATCTCAACTGCAAAAATAAAAGATGTGTTATATTTAAGAGCAAGATTTAAGGATTTTCTTGTGAATTTTACAGCAACATAGAGTCATACAGCACGGAAACAGACCCTTTGATCCAACATTTGGCCCGTTTCCCTCTAAACCTTTCCCATTCATGTACCTGCCCAAATGTTGTGTTTTTTACATGTTGTAACTGTACCTGCATCCACCAGTTCTTTTGCTGGTTTATTCCACATACGAACCGTCCCCTGTGTGAACCAATTGATCCTCAGGTTCCTTTTAAATTTCTTCCCTCGCACTTTCAAAATATGCCCCCTAGTTTTGACCTTTACTATTTACCTTTTCTATGCCCCAGATGATTTCATAAACCTCTTTCAGGTCACCCCTCAACCTCCTATGCTCCAGTGAAAAAGGTCCCAGCCTACCCAGTCTCTCCTTACAATTCAAACCCTCCATTCCTGGCATCATCCCTGTAAATCTTTTCCGAACCCTGTCCAATTTAATAATATCCTTCCAAAACAGGGCGACAAGGACTGTACACAGTATTCCAAAAGTGGCCTCACCAATGTCCTCAGCATGATGTCCCTATACTCAAAGGTCTGAGTAATGAAGGCAAGTGTGTTAAACACCTTCTTAACCACCCTGTATATATGTGATGCAACTTTCAAAGGACGATATATCTGAACCCCTAGGTCTCTCTCTGTTCAACAATACTATCCAGGGCCCTACTATTTACTGTATAAGTCCAGCCCTTGCTTGTTTTACCAGAATGCTATACCTCACATTTATCCAAATTAAACTCCATCTGTCACTCCTCAGCCCATTGGCCCAACTAATCAAGATCCCTTTTGTAATCTTAGATAAGCTTCATTACTATTGACTATACCACTAATTTTG